CATAAATAAATAAATCTTAAAAAAAATCTTCATCTACATCTGATTTATACGATGATACATGTGCATATACAGTTGACATACAGTCATCAGGTACACAGATCATCATACCTATGACCTGAGATATATAATCATTAAAAGCAACAGCTTTATTTACTTCAAAGATTATCACCAAGAAATATTTAAACAAATCTTCCTAGTAGAGTTTTGAGATGTATAGTACAGAAAATGTCTAAGGCATAGCAAGATGGAGTTTTTCATACTTTAAATTAGAGCAGAGAGATTTCTGAATTTTTCAAAACTACTTAATATCATCACACCTTCATATACACACAACTATGACTATACGACTAACATCAAAACACATAGAACACAGCACACCTGGCCTTTTAGTGGCTAGTAATATGAAATGCCTTATTTAAGAAATTCATAATGATAAAGCAACTCTCTATTCAGAAGTCTTAGGTTAAGTGCTTTGAAGAGAGTGGCATACTAGGCCCCCATGGCAAGTTGAAATTTTAAGATCAAAAGGTTTTTCTTCCAGCAGCCTACTATTATTTTAATCAATCTCACTTACCTTTGAAGATTTCCCTTGTGATTTTCTTCTTCCTACAAAGAAGACATAAGTTCATCGGAATCAGTTAATTTTGGCTACTAGGAGCTTTCAATGTGCTAGGTGATTTGCCTTCAGCCCAAAGAAAATACCATTTAAAACACACACGGAGGCCAGGGCTTGGTATGGAGCACTCCTGTCCCTATGCCCTTTGAAGCACAGTAATAAAGGGGCTAGAGCTTCTGTCGCCCAGGGAGAAGCCCAGTGAGTGAGAACCACTGGCTTATAAACACTCAGAGAGGAAGTGGCTCCCCTGGGCTTCCTCAAAGGATCTCACAAATGATACGAATTTCAAAGCCCCATTTAGTAATGACCTCCATACAGCTGTGGTTTACCTGCTTTGGCTGGAGGGGGAGGGGAAAGGTGGGGAGAAGGGCAGGCGAAGGTGAGAGGGGAGCATTGTTTGGTTCATGTCCCTCTGTGTCTAACATCGACTATGGAAGATGCTGTGGCTTGTGTGCTTCCTTGGCTCTAAGTACTGCCATGTGGAACTGGAGGCAAGGTCAGAGTGGCTTCCTCTTGAGAAGAATGACAGCTGGGCTTTGAGAAGAGCTCAGACACAAGGTGCCTTGAGAATTGAGCACCGGTGTGAAGCATTTTAAGGAAGCCTTCAACAGTAATGCAAATTCATTCTTAGGTGCAGGGACTAGACAGACCTGCTTCCTTGAAGGGGGTGCGGCCCTTGGCTCTGCCTAGGGTTCTAGGCCACTACTGCCCTGGCACAGGCCCATCCCCGATCTGGGTCTACTCTCTCTCTACTGTGAGAGGGGACCACGTGAGACTGCCAGTGGTCAAACTGGGTAGAATATTGGGATGTCCTACTGACCTGCTATATACTGCTAAGGAGTTAGGTAGCTGAAATAAAAGTTTCCTAGATTTCAGCATTATTTGATGTGAACTCCTTTTAGTGTTTACAACAAATTATGTGATAGGTACCATCTTTATTCATCTCATCCACACTCTACCCTCTTGAAAGTTGCTTCGAGAGTAGATCCTATAAGTTCTCATCACATGGGCTCTCCCTGATGGCGCAACAGGTTAAAGCACTGCATTAGGAAGCGCTCCAAAGTCACTGCAGCACGAGTTTGATCCCCAGCCACGGAGCTGACCCACATGGCATAGCAGACCTCTTCTGGACTGCCTGGTGCTACCTCAGCAGTGTATTTTGTCAGTCTGCCTGTTCTGCTCCCCACTCTGTCTCGAGTGAATCATCTCACCCACCACACCTCTGGCCTGTACCCCAGTTCTGTATGCATAAATAAATAAATCTTTAAAAAAAAAAAAAGATAGGACTCGAAGGGCAGAAACATACTACAGACTGTTCTAGGTGCTGGGTGTCTCTGATGAAAGGCAAAATGCAAAGAGAAAGTAGTGTAGTGACTCCAAATCATAGGAATATCACAAATGAGTTGATTTGAAAATGGCAAATAGCAAACTGCCCTAAGGATAAATGTCATGTGGTGTGTTCCATTAAGAAAACATGTGTGTAGGCAGGGAGGGCTGTGACAAATATCTCTACTTTCTGATCAGTAGTATAATTTTAATGTTTCAAGGGAAATATTTTTGCTCTTGTGTTCCTTTTAGGTACATAAAAATCTTCATCTACAGCCCTGCCTGGTGGTGCAGCAGGTTGAAACACAGAACTAAGAAGCTAAAGCCACTTCAGCATGATTTC